CTGCTCACTGTTTCTATTATGCTTTTCTTGTACTTTCTTCTCTTGCTTGCTTCGCATGCTACACGGAGTGTGGCGACTTGAACTTCCGCACATTTGTGCAAAGTTCTATGTCGAAAACAGACAGACAGACATACAAATCATTGGTATTTCAGCAACACTAATTATCTACGATGATAAGATTAAAAGCTGTCGAAAGTTTTTAATAATTTTTCCTTCACATTACCAGTGGAGCATAGGGTTTCAAGCTAATGGCTTGAAGATTCTGTAACAGTAATTATTTTTACAGAATGAAGTTGCTAGCTTCATGCCCAACCTTCCATATTCACCAGCATTTTGTCTGGCTTAGCGAGGTAAAGTAGTGCGTCGACCAGGGATTGAACCTCGACCCGTGTGCATGGTCGGCGAGCGTCCTAACCACAGTGCCACCGACGCTAAGACAGATTTCGTTATGAAGAGGATTCAGCCGAATAACAAGTGAAAACTAGGCAATATAGCTGTTCGATCCTACTTGCAAACTCCTCCAGTAATCTAATCGAGCTCAACACGGCCATGCTTTGAAGTGAGACAGTTGCCATTCATTCATTGTGACAAAAATGCAGTGGGTTCGCAACACCAGAGTGCTAAGCTCAACGGCTATTAAAAGATTGTGGAATATATGGTTTACATTCAAATGCTTGATTTTATTAACTTTTCTTTGTTATAGCTTGATTCCACACAATATTTTGGTACAAGTATGGAACTGTCAGTATGTGATATATATGTATCGGTAGCCGAAATTTAGCAGGCCGACCATTGATATCAGGTGTGCATCGGTAGGGGATAGAAACCCGAACCATGTGCATGGTCGGTGAGCATCCGAAATACTGTGCCACCGACACACGGTATGTACGGGTTTCGGAATTCATGCACCTACCACCTTATTTTAAACTAAATCACTACAATTATTGAATTGAATTTTTGATTTTCCCGTCGATTGATTGGACCGAAGTGCTCGGTCTCAGGTTGACATGTCGGCTTCTTGTGCAGACGCTTCGACGATGTCTGGGGATTTGATTAGTATACAATTGGTGGATGGTGGCTAGCAGTGGAATCCAGGATGCGCATTTCGTCCTATTTGGGACTCGTCAGCTGGATGTACCTGCATTTCTCAGTGAGTGATGATGTTCCCACCGAGGCTCGAACCCAGTGCCCATAGTTTCAAACGCCAAAGCGTTATCCACTAGACCACTTGGGCCACGAGAGCCACCTCTTGTGCAACGGGTCATATTAATTATTGAATTGAATTTTTGATTTTCCCGTCGATTGATTGGACCGAAGTGCTCGGTCTCAGAAGCCGACATGTCAACCTGAGACCGAGCACTTCGGTCCAATCAATCGACGGGAAAATCAAAAATTCAATTCAATAATTAATATGACCCGTTGCACAAGAGGTGGCTCTCGTGGCCCAAGTGGTCTAGTGGATAACGCTTTGGCGTTTGAAACTATGGGCACTGGGTTCGAGCCTCGGTGGGAACATCATCACTCACTGAGAAATGCAGGTACATCCAGCTGACGAGTCCCAAATAGGACGAAATGCGCATCCTGGATTCCACTGCTAGCCACCATCCACCAATTGTATACTAAATCACTACAAACCTTATGATTTGAAAATTAATCATTGCTTTGTAGTACAGAAAAATCACTCGACTTTATACATATATACATATGGTGAGGAAAGATATTCTACTTAATGATGCATAGCATGAACAACATTCAAACAAATTAGCATAAATCTCTAAGAGAAAAAATAAACAAAACATAAAAGAATCCTGTTATACACACGAAGTATTGTTTCACAACAGGTGGTCGTCAGCAATCACCTGTACTACATAAATTGAGGGTAAAAAAAAACAATGATAAGTAATAGTTGCTAAAACGAAAATATTGAATACTATTAGCTAGCTGATATGTTGCTTGAATGCGACCTATTATCAATCAATAATATACACACACTACTGAATGAGAAATGATTATCCGCATATATATATATATATATATATATATATATATATATGCCATACAAATAACATTCATTAGTTTGTTGGGATTTTCTTACAGACACAAATTCCTGGTATCTTGATTAACTGACTGCCTTCAACGAACAACTCCGCATCGAAATAAGCGGCAGCTCGAGTCGCCACACTCCATGTATCACACAAACATAGAGAAGAAAGACAAAATAAGAGATTCAGAAGAACGACAATGACGATAAATGTGAGGGTCTGAGAATGGTAACATGGAGAAACAATAGGGTGCTTATGGATATGGTAGATCATAAAGAGTGTGAATGCATCTGAGCTACAGACAACGATTTAGAGAAATATATATCACCAACTGTTTGCCTCCAGTCATTGGTTCTTAGAATCCCAAGGACATCAACCAGTTAAGTAGTTTACACCTTCCTATGTGGCCAGCTCAAACTAAGTGTCAAAGATTTCATGGACTGACTCCGGATTTAGGTTTGGCTACCAAGTAGCTCTTTTCCAGTCTGATCCATTCTATGCCAGCTAACATTTGCCGTCGTGGAAGACAATGGCTGGGGATGCGTTACACATGTCATAGCCATTATAATCGATGTAGCTTTACAATCTGGTTGATTGATTTTGCTATATATCCAATCGTAGACACCTAAGCTCAATATTACTCGCCCTGTTGCACCACTTAACACAGGAGATAGAACGCTTAGCCAGAAGTTTCATGTCTTCTACTTCCAATGGCCATGTGTCACTTATAGTCATAAAAGAAGACGGAGCAAATTGGTGTGCAATTCACACGTCCTTTGGTCGATTGCCAGCAAGATATCACGTCTACGCTAGAAATAGTTTAAGTTGTCAGAACCCAAACGAACCTTCTGTATCTGTAATGAGATTTCGTCAGCAATCAGCCCGTTGGGGCTGATCCAACTTCCCAAATAAGTGAAGTGATCAACACGCTGTACCACTTCACTCTCTATTTCTAAGCTAGAAGTCAATGTAGTCCAGTTCTGTAGCTTCATCAACTTACATTTGGCGGGAGCGAATCGCATGCCAAACATTCGTAGATTGCAACTCAAGGTGTTCAGAAGACTCTGCATTTCTCAGCAGACATCTTAATGCACAGATGAGAAAATACTGCTCTAAATGCATTTAATCCTACTCCAAAATTATGATGGAGATATATGGATGATATTTTCAATGTGTCGAAAACAGAACATACCTCTAGTTTCTTCACAAATATAAACTCTTTGGTAAAGGCAATAAAATTCACATTTAAATCAGAAGACAAACAAGGAGAATTAGCTATGTTAGATTGTAAAATAAAACGAATAGAAGGAGGTAAACCACACACTAGCGTTTATAAAAATGCCAACGCATTCTGTTAATAGATATTTAAACTTTAATTCATCTCATTCGTTAACTATAAAGGCTGGCTTAGTTAAGTATTTAACAAACCAAGCAGTAGCACTAAGTAGCACAAAAAAGACCTAAATGATGAAATGGAACAGATAAAAGGACGACTGGTTGGTGTTAAATAACTATCCTATGAAATTCATTCGGATGATCAGAAAAGGTCAAAAGCAAAATAATAATAATTGTGAAACAAGTAGTGCTAACACAAATAAGAAAGAGAATATGTCATCTACAGTTCTACCACCTCAAGAAGGGATATCTAATACCCTACGAAGAATTCTTAATAAAGCAGGAATTAGGATGGCATTCAAATCTACAAACTCACTTAGGGACAAGCTCTGCAGGTTAAAGAACCCCGTTGGTTGACCCACTTAAACAAAATAATACAATTTACAAAATACCCTGCAATGACTGTGGGTTAGGTCAACTACATAGGTCAAACTAGTAGATCATGAGTAGTAGTGAGTTTATCAGAACGTAAAAAATTTAGCAAAGGGAAGAATGGTTGATCCCACCCGCGAAGATAAGTAATTCAGAAAAAAAGCTCAGCAACTGCACTACATGCAGTAACACCCCACAATAGGGTGGGAGAGGGTTAAGATTCTAAGAAATAATCTATGTCGGTGGAGAGAAAGGTTGATTACTGAATCCCAGCTGGTTCATTGAGTCTACACCCAACACATGCAATAGACGTGATTCAAAGTAAATACCAGAGATATGGAAGATATTATCACCATCAGTCAGATCAGAGTATAGTAAATAATGTTAAAATGTTTTCAGTTCAATTCATATTATAACATTATAACGAGTTATTTATATATTTTACTATGAAAAACATCTTATTTCCCATCTTATTGTATTTTATTGATAACACTAATATTGTTATTTCCGAATGTACTTTATCTTATATATTAACTATATTCAAATGTCTAATCATCAATTTTTACTCATGTATATGAATGAAGCAAGAAAGTTATGTGAATGAGTACCTGTGATTTGATTATGAGTAGCAATAATTTGTCATCACGAAATATTACTGTATAACAACACTGTGTGATTTTATCAAAATAAAATTTCATCTTTAAAAACAGTTTTGTTGTGTTATGCTGAGTGCTGTACACCTCCAAAAATGATTTCATTAAACTGGCGAGAAGGTTCCATCTGCCTTTCAAGAAGCTTCAGGCTTTTATCAATAGCTGGATTCACTAGCTCCATCCATATTGAAGATCAAATTAACCAGAAAGCATTAGGAATGAGAAACTCTGCAAAACAAACTAATCAAGAAGGTGTTGTTCAACAAACAAATATTCCGAAACAAGTACAAAGGGATCATCACACATACGTCGAGGAGACAACTGTCAGGTGAAATTACACGGTAGACTCTCGAATGGAATCCAAATGGGAAAAGACAAGTTGGGCGTGTAACCGAGGATGAGATACAGAGGTGATCATCATGTGCGGAGGAGATGAGAAGACAAACATTGGGGATATGCTCAATAACAATTTAAATCTAAGAGAATTTTTTTGGGTAAAACTTTGCTCAATATAAAATATACACAAAAACATACTTACCCTTCGTATTAAACTTTGACGAAATTTGCTCAAATCCGCTTCAGACACTGACTGTTCGCCTAATACTTCACGAATATTATTCACAGCGAGTAGAATGAAATTCTGTTGTTTTGAAAATTAGAAAAAAAAAGAAAGAAAACGAAACGAAATATTTAGAAGAAAATTACTCTTTCTTAAATCAAACCAATTAAAGGTTCACGATTAAATGTTACAAATTATAAGAAAAATATAAAACTATAAGCAGCATAATTGATTCCTTTAAACGAGTCAATGAATAGCTAAATTTCAAAATCAAATAGAGAAGAGAAGTTTGAAGGCAGTCAGATAGTGGTGTATCACAGCGAAGCATATGCTACTGACACGACTTATAAGTAGTATATAGACGCAGGTATATCATCTGCAAGAATATTGAATAGCAGAGAGATGGATAGATTGAATAGCGAAGAGAAGAAATCAGAGACACTTGTGCAATAACATCGAAGAAATGAAGGGAAGACACAGAAGCACAATATCGAAGATATTATATGGGAATTTTGATACTGAACTGTATGGTAGATGCATTTTCTATTTTTGATTATAACTTGATTCCACACCGTATTTTTGAGTACAAGTATGGAATTTTCAGCATGTGATATCGGTGGCCGAAATTTAGCAGGCCGACCATTGATATCAGGTGCGCGTTGGGTAGGGGATCGAACTCTGGACCAAGTGCATGGTTGGCGAGCGTCCTAACCACTGTGCCCCCGACGCAAACATGTCTGTATACAACATTATGGCAATACTACGTGTCAGGTGATCCACACACAGGGATACGTTGGATCCCCGATAAGAAGACTCTAGAAGATCTGGATTTCACACGCGGATGATTTATGTTCAATGTCACACAAACTCGACGACTTACAGGTGAAAACCGACAAAATGGAAGGGAAGATAGGACGCTAGATGAACAAAGAGAAGACGCAGATGATGGAGATAATCAATCAACAGCGACAGCAACAACAACCAGCACCAATCACCATCAAAGGGAGAGATTTAGCAAAGGTTAACTCCTGTCTCCACTTTTCTGGTTAGGAAGCATGGTGTCAACCACAGGGCAGCGGAAAGGATGAAGATGTCAAGACCAGCCAGCATCGGAAGGGAAAGAACATAAGCATAGAGAACAAGATTCGGAGTCTGTTCAACACAAATGCGAAGTCAGTCAATCAGTTCTTCTATACGGGTCAGAAACTTAGACTGCGCCTCCCCACATGGATTTCCAACAAGCTACAGACTTTTTATCAACAGCTGCCCACTCCTCTGGTTAGCTTCAAACTGAAGATCAAATGGCAGGTCGATCAGAAAGAATTGGCAATATGAAACTCTGGCTGAGAAAAAAAACTAACCAAGAGCCGTTCACTCAACAAAATATGTAATGGGAAAATGGAGATGGATGGGAAACATGTTGAGGAGGCCACGGCAAATGACATCACGCGACTGACTAGCCCTCATGTGGAATCCAAATAGAAAGCAACAAGTAGAAATAAGACATTATGGTCAATCGTGGAATCAACCAGCTGGTGAGGACAGCAGAAAAGTGAACAAAGTGGAGATGTAATGTTGAGGCCCCATGTTCCACCCAAAAGAATAAAAATAATAACAATAATAATCTGTGAACATCGAGCTGTCAATAAATAATTCCATTACAACAATTCTCTTGTGCTTCTTCCGTTATAATAATGCACATAAATTTACCAATAATATTACTGTGAATAGTTGCAATAAGTAAAGCAGTACTAATTGAAATGCTTAAACCGACTACTTTTACCTTGTCAATCACAAAAAAGCCTTTCATTTGCCCCTAATGGATGGATTTTGATGATCATCAGATGCATTTTCCTTTTTTTTTCGTTTTTTTAGAATTTCGGTGATTTAATTAATTTCTGTAGAGCTTTTTTGCTATTCATTGATTATTATCCACTTACAAATGTCAAAGAGTCATTCATAAGGAAGAAGTCCGCTCTGTAGATCTATATAAAACAACTGAGTGTTTTTTTTATCAGTCTGGAGCAATCCAGCTTTCATTACAACATGGATGTATCAATAAAACATTAGCACTAATAGAAAAACATCTTTTCCACATTCCCATGACTAGATAGTGTCTTTCACGTGTTCAAGTTTAATCACGGATCGATATCAGCTAGAGAACTCTTGGAAGCCAGAAGAGAGTAATGGACAGCAGTTTCGTCCTAGTTTAGTAGTCATCATGATAATTATTGTTCCCTTGGGTTGCTAGTGGAACATAGGGCTTCAACTTCACGTCTCCACTTGCCACTTTTGTCTTCCTTCTGATGAACTTTTCACCTTCATCCATGTTAGTCTATACTCTTTCAACTCCCCCTCCTATTCACACGATCTCCTCCATGTCACCCATCCTTGCACTCACGTCCCACTCGCCGTTTGCTTCCCTTTCGGCCTGGTTCCACTCGAGCAATGGCCTGATGCGCGCGCGATGTCACCCAGCCGCCTCCTCAGCGAGTGAGTGTCCAATCCATCCATCTCCACTTTCTCCTGCATATTTGTCGGGTGGCGATTGGTTCTTGTTTAGTTTGTTCCTTCACATTGTTTCTTGTTAATGATTCTTTCCGGCCCGTCCCGGCCATCTGATCTTCAGTATAGAGCGAAGACAGTTAGTTGTTGATAAAGCTCTGCAATAGCCTGTTGGTGGAAATATTCTCTGTGACCAGCCCGCCAAGTTTCTCACCGTATAGAAGAACTGACTCACTTGACGTTGTTTGTATTGAAAATCTGACCGAATTTCGTTGTTGATATTGGCTGAGTGACGAAGATTTCCAGATTGGTTGTTTCAGGTTGATGAGTGAATGTGTTTCCCGCCTTCCCGATTCTCGGTCGATGTGACATCCTCGTCCGTTCCGCCTGCCTGTAGTTGAGACAATGCTCCCTAGATAAGTGAACGAAGTAACCTCTTTCAAATCCCTCCAGTTGATGGTGATTGGCGCCGGATGTTGCTGAAGCTGTTGTTGGTTGGTTATTGTCATTAGGCAGTACCTATCCACTGGAGTTCGAACCTAGAAACTGCCGGTTACAAGTCAAGCTCGCAGACCATTCAACCACTGGGATCCACCGGATTCAATGACCAGCCCATGAATTCCAATTTCTACCAATTTGTGATTTCAGTGAAGCCGATTACCAACGAGTATATGTCCTCACTATTCGATTAGAAATTATCCGCACTAATCACGACTTCTCACTAGAACTAGATCTCTCCAGGGCAACTTCATTCTGTAGCCGGCAAAGTTAAACTTTAAGCACCAATAACCGCCAATCAGCGAACGTCCCCTTTTGAGATCCATTTATAGCCCTAATCCTATTTTTCAATCTTTCCCAAAATCCTTCTACAGAAATTGTGTGTGTGTGTGTGTGCCCCTGTAATTGGATCCAAAAAATCACTAGAATGGTTCACACTATGATGAATATATCCAAGAAATGACAGCGAGTTATAATCTTTCCATTCATTAGTATGTATTACTGATTCCTGTTACACAAGTCTAGTAATAATAGTTAATAAAGTAGTTGACTTTCTGTCTGGTATTCTCTCCATAAATCCTTTCCACTGTAACAACAGAAGACAAGGGCCAGGCAACAGATCGTTTTATTACGAAAATCAACACGTATTTATATATATTTTATATGCATTAATAAGGCTTATGCAAGCAGAAAAAGGCAGTCTTCTGATTGGTTGTTTCTCGGAAGTTAAGCAGACAAACACAGTCTTATGATTGGTTGTGTTCGATATTTCTCGGAAAGTAGAGCCATCTATCTGCGAATCATATTTGTCCACATTTAGGTTTGCTGTGATTGGTTGTTGAAACAGCCTTGTTCACGGCCAATATTAGTGACCTAGACATTAACGTAGATTAGTGCCAACCAATCGGCTAGCAGCCTGCTCTCACCACACTCGTCCCCCCGTCAAATACGTGCGACTGAAGTCGGCTTGATCTACTTGGTGCAGGCGTCATCGTTGGCTTGTCTCGCTGTATCCATTTCTGGAGCTCGCTGACGTTCACGCGCCTCTCATTGTTCGCCATTGCGACTGTGTCTGCGTAACCCCATCTCGAAGTGACCATATATGGTCCTTCCCACTTTGGAAACTGTTTGCCTGACCCTGTCGAACATTCGTCCATACTTCGGCCCACACCTTCATATGCTGCTTTCGCCCGACCTCCCAGCAGCGTCTCAAGTAGCAGCTCCATCGCTGACAGATTTTGAACGCCACTCAACTGCGCAGAAGCCTTGAAGTCCTGCCCGAAGATCCATATGTCTCCATCAAAAACTGCAGGGTATAGGCTTTCCATTTGTCGGTAGGCAGCGACACCAAATGTAACAACAGAAGACAAGGGCCAGGCAACAGATCGTTTTATTACGAAAATCAACACGTATTTATATATATTTTATATGCATTAATAAGGCTTATGCAAGCAGAAAAAGGCAGTCTTCTGATTGGTTGTTTCTCGGAAGTTAAGCAGACAAACACAGTCTTATGATTGGTTGTGTTCGATATTTCTCGGAAAGTAGAGCCATCTATCTGCGAATCATATTTGTCCACATTTAGGTTTGCTGTGATTGGTTGTTGAAACAGCCTTGTTCACGGCCAATATTAGTGACCTAGACATTAACGTAGATTAGTGCCAACCAATCGGCTAGCAGCCTGCTCTCACCACACCACAGGGAGGTGTCATATAAACCGATCACCGAAACATTGTTGGCTCGCTCACGGCGACAATTGTATTTTTTACCCAGTAACACAGCTCCGTCCACGTGCACAACGATACCTTCTCCGCCCAACAACGAAGTAATTCTTTCCATTTTCCATGATGAAATGTCTCTGCACTGCTGGTACGACGGAACTGTTGACATGAGGCTATTTTCGGTTTCAGCAGCTGGGCCTCTCACAGGCTGTTTTAAAATCCTTAAGGAGAGATGCGATCTAGCAAAAAGTGTTCCTACGAAATATTAAAATCATCAGCTCACCTTCTCTAATGCTAAGTCTTCTCAAACAAATTGCACAACAATGAACATATCAATCAACAATCGACCTGCTAAAG